ACCCCCCCCCCCCCCCCCAGTGCGACCAGGGCTGGAGAGGAGAGGGGCACGCTGCCTCCGGGGGAGGAGGAGAGGGGCACGCTATCCCCAGGGGAGGAGGAGAGGGGCACACGCAGGCGGAGAATGAGAGGGGCACGCTGCCCTGGAGGAGGAGAGGGGTGCGCTGTCCTGGAGGAGGAGAGGGGTGCGCTATCCCCAGGGGGGAAGGAGAGGGGCGCACGCAGGCGGAGGAGGAGAGGGGCGCGCTGTCTAGCGGAGGAGGGGGTTGCGCTGGCCTGGCGGAGGAGGGGGGGCACGCTATCCCCAGGGGGGAGGAGGAGCAGGGCGTGCTGTCCCCAGGGGGGAGGAGGAGAGGGGCGCGCTGTCTGGCGGAGGGGGTCGCGCTGTCCCCAGGGGGGAGGAGGAGAGGGCGCCCGGCAGAGGGGGCGCCGGCTGGCCAGCTGACCGCGTGCCTGCTGCGCCCGGCCCCGCAGGCACGGTGCTGTGCGAGGAGCCCAACAGCCGCATGCACCACTTCGTGGGCTGCCTGGAGTGGAACGACAGGAAGTACCCCCTGGACATTGGCAACCTCCTGCTGCGGGGCTGCAAGGTCCGCAACACCGACACGTGCTACGGGCTGGTCATCTACGCCGGTACGGCTGGGCGGGCGGGAAGGGCGCAGAGAGGGCCAGCAGCCGCGCGCGTCCCGGCTGGGAGGGTGGGTGCTCTTGGCCCCGCGCCGGCGGGGACGGCGTCCACCACGCAGGCTTTGACACGAAGATCATGAAGAACTGTGGCAAGATCCACCTGAAGAGGACCAAGCTGGACCTGCTGGTGAACAAGCTGGTGGTCCTGGTGAGCGGCCGAGGCCCGGGCGGGGACGCAGCGCGGGCGCCCAACACAGAGTGACCCTAGAGACAGTCTTTGGGCCAGAGGGTCTTGTGTTAAAATGGCCATTTAAAAACCGCCTAAGCGTTTTTTAAATCCGTGGGTGAGAAATCCGTGGGTGCCACAACCCCACAGGAGGGATGTTGGAGGCGGGACTGTGCGTGCCCACGCCCCTGCAGTGTGGTCCCCCTCTCCTCCCGTCTGCCCCTGGGAGCCCATGTGCTCTCTGACCAAAAGGTGAGCAGGTGCTGGACCCTCACGTGGCCAACCGTGGTTCGAGTCCGGAACCCGGCACTTAAAACTCACCCGGGAGCGTTGCGTGCGTGTCCAAGATCCCAGGAGGAGAATGGAGGACAGACTGCGGTGTGGCCATCCCCCACGGGGGGGTTCTCACTTTCTGTCTCTCTGTCTCTCTCTGGCGAGCTTTGGTGCCCTGTAGTAAAAAATCTCTCGCTCTCAAACACAAAAAAGCAAAACGAAACTGGTCCGGAAAGCCTGGCGGAACCCCCGCAGTCCCCGCCCTGCGCCCCGCCCGCCCCCCAGGGCCGGGTCCAGCGCTGCCTCTCCCCGCAGATCTTCCTGTTCCTGGTGGTCCTCTCCCTGCTGCTGACCTTCGGCTACACTTTCAAGGTCAAAGAGTTCAAAGACAAGCACCACTACCTCGCGGGGATCCACAGCAGGGGCGTGGTCACCGAGTCCTTCTTCATCTTCTGGGGCTTCCTCATCCTGCTCAGCGTCATGGTCCCCATGGCCATGTTCATCCTGTGAGGGCGGCGGGCGGGGCGGGGCAGAGGG